GGTCATAGGCAATTATCACTGGAAATTGAAAGGTTTAGAATCTTTGTATGACCTTTAAAGGTCAACACAGTTGCCCATTCACATGCATGCAATTATACAGTGACTAGTTCACAGCAGAAAAAAAAAAACATAAAAAAATATTGAGTAAAACAAACCTTGCATTCATCAAAAGCTACTTTGCACTCTCCTGGCTTTATGTGAGGCGTAAGCTTTACAGAGCAAAGGGGCTACTTGTCCCCATTTTGTCAAAGTTCTAAATCCAGCCTACCAGCATAATTGCTAAGAATTCAACATTATCACAATGTCCAGTCTCTCTGTAAAGAGTTTCAAAAATAACGATAAATTTAATTGAATGACTATGTTTGTGCTATTGCTAGGGAAAGGGAGACAGTACCTTCACTAACTGGCCATTCAGAGGAAATCATAAAACAATTACAGCTACTATGGAGTAATTCAGGAGACTAGAGGAAGTGACTAAAAGGATTTTATCTAATAAAAGCGTACTATAAGCTCTGATTCCTTAGTCATCTCTCATACCCCATCTGGATCACTGTGAACAAAATGAAATGTTCTCCTTATAGTAAATACTAGTATATTCACTTTTCATCTGAATCCCAAGTAACCTGAAAGTCTTGTATTTCCCAATGGTCATAATAATCAATTGCCTAAAAAAGGCCAGATTTTCACTGATTCCAGGGACTAAATGGCCTATCACACTATAGCAGAGGACGAAATCCAACATATACATGTGATATATACATTGGAAGTGGGTGGGTTATGGAAATCTAATAGAAATTTGGCCTATAATATCAATATGTTGCTGGAAAATGCGTAGGTAACACTTGTAAACCAGAATAGTATGCTCTAACGTAATGCGAGGTTTATGTTTGGACTGTGGAGGTGCATATTTAATAAAGCAGCATACAGATATACTCAGTGTTTAAAGTATGTTGAAATTCCCAGTCATGGTGTCAATAAACACATCCCAAAGCATCCCTACATAGAGGACAAAATTGATTAATTTTTGCATTTGTAGCCTAACAAATAAAAATGTAGTAAGCAGTTACACAGGCCTGAACAGAGCAAGGACAAAAATACCTTAAATAAAAAAACTAAAGAGGAAAAATATACTGCATGTAACAGTGGCTCAAACAGTAAAACTCAATTACAAATGACCTTGTTAAACCACGGATACAGCTGTACTGTAGGTCAAATCATGCAAAGTAGTGAAAAACTATGTACCTAACAATGTACACATTTTTTATAGTTGTTCTCACCTCCTTCAATACAAAAACCAGCATTTTCCATAGGTGCCATTAAGCATTTGTATACATATATGCATGTGCATCTATATGTATAGATATAGAGATTAGATAGATATTGCAGAGAAATGTATTTAAATAGTACTTTTCTTCACGTTCCAATAAGTCTAACCATTCCTCTAAAAATTTCTGTTAAGAATAAGTGGAAGACAAGAATTGTTAGTTATATTTCATTGACAAGGACACTAAATCACTGTGCCAAATGAATAGAATCAGACTTTCTAAAAATTACCCAATAAACCAGTGGTGAATTACAACTAAAAAACAAAAACTAACTTCTAGGTCTCTGGTTGTCATGCCCTTCTCTCCACCTCCCCTATTTCAGCCTATGCTCCAAACCTAAAGTAAAACTGTTCTCTAAAAAGACTCATTGTGAAATTATTCCTCCTCTTCCAGTGGTATAGTTCAATATGCTTCAAATACAGTGTTCAAAATAAAGTTCACCAAAGAATTTCTGAACAAAATGGCAAATTCATCATATTACATGGCATTAAAAAAAAATCAATGCTTCCTAAGTAAGATGCATCATGTGAAATACTGTGCAAGTATGTGGACCAGATATGAGGTTGATCTAGCTAGTGTGGCCTTCATATCTAGCAGCATCTGTGCTAATGTGTTTCTTCTGTGTTTTGAGGGAACCCTACTAATAACAGGTTGATGAGTTGCCATTGTAAATGTCAGGCATAGATCAAAGGGGACTATGTTAGATGCTTATTTTACCTCAACGTATGGTTTTTCACCCAGGAAACTAAACTACATTGCACAGTAAAGTTCCTTATTTTTGCTTGAATCTTTAATGAACAAAACAGCTGCAGAATAATGCGACTTAATGAGGCATCCCTAATAAAATACTGGAGAAGTAAAAGCATGGGCACTGAACTGTTTGCACTCTGGTTGTTTCATCTTCCCAAATATATTAGAAATAACTGATGACACTTGGAGCATTGCTAGTTTAACACATGCATTAGAGAGGCAAATGTCCATCAGTTTGCAGCCCCAGCTGAACTCAGGCAGAATCTGAGAATACCTTCTATTAGGGCCCGTGATAAGAAATCCTGGAAAATGCTGGAAAGGCACATTTTACCCTCCCCATGCAGGGTAATCCATAACCTGTAATAATGATAAATCAACCCTAAAATACACTCTCCATATTTCAATGTTCAAAAACACATTGTAAAAGGGTCATTTGTTAAAATACTAGATCCAGGATCACTAAGATTTTCTGATAATACACAAAATAAAGTTTATAAAATCTTGTATTACCCCTAAATTTCATTACTTTATACATTTTTAAAAAGAAAACGTAACCACATTTAAAAACAGGCCTTTTTACAGCTGTGTCCTCACATTTTATAACTTGGTGGTTAGTAAATACTATAATGTAGTCTCTACGCAATATGTATCATTTTCGACATAGATCCATGGGCATCTCAATAAATCTTCATCCTGCAATTTGTCATTGTTAAAGTAGCTAACATTTTTTCAGATTCAAAATCACAAACTCAGAAAACTTCAATTCCCCTTTAGCACAACTTGTGGCATTAATGTCAAGGTTTTGGGACATATATCATAGCACTCTATGTTAATACATAAGTTTATGCATCCTAAACTACAAAAATTTTATTAAAGGTGTGCAAAAGAATCAAGATTTTCAATTTCAAAAAATGCCTAATAGAAAGCAAAACACTAAACTGTGCTCTGCCTCTTAAAAGAGTCACTGTGTCTGAGCATTCAGTTGGTGTGACACTGTCCTCATAGCATACTATCTGTAAATAATACAATCCCATTTTTATTGAAAATTCAGAAAACCAAAATAAAATGCGCTTCAGTGTAGTTACTGATAGCCTTTCAATGGCTATTGATAGCTTTAAAAAATAGGACTCTAAAGAGGTCAATATGCAAACAATTGACCCAGGATGAGACAGAATAAAGTAGGAAAAGAAAAAATTAAATTACATGTATATGATCATTCTTAGGGTTCTTTAGGTGCCAAATTTGAAACTGTAAAAGATTCACCAGTCTGAGAGTACACATGGAAACATAGAAAAGCTGGAGTGAATACCTATAATCTTAATGCTCTGGTTTTTAAAGGCTTTAGAAGTGTTTTCAATCTCCTTTGCTAGTTATTGCCATTTAGCACTTTACACAGAAATTAATTACTCAACTGTCTTAACTTACATTGCTTAATAGAGCAGTTTTAATGTGTTAATTGATAACAGTCTGAACATTAATGTCTCAAACAATCTAGTTGGGAAGACAGGAACCAGATAATTATCATTCAGTCAATAGTCATTGAAATTCATCCGGTCCTGAGAGAAGGACTCATATACTGACTGCTCTGAGGGGACTTTTCAGAGTAAAGGTTGCATACAGGTTTGTTTTGGTTGAGTTTTTTTGTTTCGTTTTGTTTTTTTCCAAAAACAACAAAATGCAAGAGGGGATTTAACACAAACAGAAGATATTTTTTCTGTCTCATTGCCACAAGCCAAACTCTCTTCAGCACCAGGTTGAAGAGAGGGAGGCTGGCCAGCCACTGTAGTAACTACACATCTGATTCCAAACGCTTCAGGCAATTGTTTAACACGGTCAGGAAGAGGAATGCTGAAGGGGAGAGCGCCGCGTCCACTAGGGGTGGGGAGGCGGCAGCTCTGCAAGCGCCCACAGTTAACTCCTTTTCATGTGGAGACTAGAAAGCTCAGCCTGCAGTCCTCGGAGAAATCGGGCGGCGAATCTCAAACTTTCCTTTGCAAAGGCAGTTTCTGGAAACAACACGTTCCCCACTGGCAAGGGAGGACCAATAGCCTAAAGAAAACACCTCCAGATAAGAACCCGGCCTTCTGGGACAGAAGGGGCGAAGGGACAGCAGAGCAATGGGGCAGAAACACCGTGCCCTGTTAGTAAGATCGGGGAGGCTTCCATTGGGAAAGAAACGAAAACCCATTCGCTTCTCGAAGCTGTTTGTTTGGGTTTTGTTGTGGTTTTGAACGCAGTTCGTCTAAAGATGCTTTTCCCGGAGCTCTCTTGTGATATCCTCTATGAAAGCTTTATTTCACTCGGGAATAAAGCGTCCGTTCCCAAATTGAAATAACCCTTTACATAGATGGGGCCGAGGAACTTATCAGGACGATTCTTTATGAAGATAGAAGTGGGGAAGTCTCATTGAAACGAGCCTCCTTGAAACGCCCACCGTCTGCAGGCAGGCCCGAGAATTAGCTAATCAGAAGTGGACAGAAAGTAGGGATGTCAGAGGGGCGCCCTGGCACACCTCAACGGTCCCGCCTCGAACGCGACCCCCAACTCCTGGTGAGCAGTCCGAAATGATTACCAACCCGGCTGGACCTGGCTGGGGGATCCGGTTAAAACTCGCTTTCACCCTCGGCCGGGTCGCTCGCAGGGTTAGGAGAAATGGAGCAGAAAAGGAGGGAGGGCGCCGCGCTCGGAACGTCGTTCGTGCGCTCGGCTCCCCTCTCGGTGTCCCTCTACCCGCACCCCCTACCCCGACAGCCCGCGAGGAAGACGCTGGCCGCCCGACCAGCATCGGCTCTCCCCTCCCGCCTGCCCCGACGAGCCCCCTTGACAGATCCGGACCCCGGGGAGGGGAAGGGAGGGCTTCCGGGCCCGGGTCCTCCAGCGGCCGCCCGAGTCCCCCGAGCCCGCGGGGGCACGGCTCGCACCTACCTGCAGCCCGGCTTCCTGGTGGCGGCAACACCTAGCGATGCTCCTGCAGCTTCCGCGGGCCCGCGCCAGCCTTATCGCTCTTGCATCGCTTCCAAGATGCCAATCCGTCGTCCCCGTTCAGGGGCATAGGGAACCGGAGTCCGGTGGGGTGTGCTCGTGGAGGGCTGGTGAGTGAGGTCCGGAGCGTGCGTGTGCGCGCGTGTGTGTGTGTTTCCTCCTCCGATGGCACAGAGACTCAGGAATCTCTTGACATTTACACCGGAATCCCCTTAAAGCGGATGGAAGGTGGAGCGAGCGAGCCTCGCCTCTTTTCCTCCCTTCTATGCCACGGTGTCAAAGTAATAAAAAAAAAAAAAATGTGTTTCCCCGAGGACAAGCCAAAGTCCCGCAGCCCTCGCCAGCGCCCGCGGTCGCCCGCCGTCCTCGCCGGATACGCGCGGTGCGCTCAGCTCCCCCCACTGCGAGAATCAAGGCGGTCTTGCAGCAATTACCGCCCTTATTCCATCTCTGATTTGTTTGCTTTTAACGCCGAGTACAGACTTTTCCTCTCGCCTCACGTCGTCTCTCCCTCTCACACACACTCACACAGGACTCCGTTTCTTCTCCCGCCCTCCCTTTTGCTCTCTGGGAAAAGGCAATTGGCCGGAACGGTTCACCTTCAGGAAAGCAGCCTCTGCCACGCACTTCTGTTCTCCGGCCCTCGCAGGTCCAGGAGGAGTTGCTGGGGAGGTTCTGGGCAGGAAGGAGGAGAGGCTCTGAGTCGGCCGGCCGTCGTCTGCCCGCAAGCCGCCCGGGTTCCTCGGTGCAGGTGCCCGTGCTCCCGCCTTTAGCAGATAGGTCCCAGCTGATGCTCTCTCGGAGACTTAGCGCGAGTCCAATTAGCAGCCACGCCTGGCCAGCTGCAGCCCCTCAATCCCTCCTAGAAGTGCTGCGGGCAGAGCCCCATGCAGCCCAACCGCTGCCCCTCTAGGCATCCTGGGCTGGAAGGAAGGGAAGTCGCCTCTCTCCCCCTCTCCCCAGTACCTGGCACCGTCGCCTCCGAGAAGGTGTAAGTTCCAACATCCAACTGGAGCGAGCAAGTGTGTCACTTCGCTAAAGGCGGGAGGGGGAGAGAGGGAGGCGGGGGAGGGGGCCAAGGAAACAAATCCAAATTACCGAAGGGAAAAAGAAGTAAACGGTTTAGTAATCAAATCCCCCTCTCCTAAGCGCTATACAGTCCATAGACACCGGTGGTACCTTTTTTAAAGTCACCGAAAAGGGCAGAACCCCCTGTCCACCCACACCCCTTACTCCACCCAGCCTGGTTGGAGAGAACGCAGAGAGAGAATAGGTCCCAACACTCCAGGTTGAGTGAAGCAGTAAAATGGGGTGGCAAGACCAAACGATGCTGCCTCCCTCCGTCTGCCTCCCAACCGCCAGGTCTGTTAGCAGACGCAGCTGCTGCTGAGAGCAAACTGCGGTCCTGCAGGAAAAGACAGTAAAAAATGGGAGGGCGGCAATGGGTAAAAAGCTGGACTGTGTCTCCCTCTAGAGGGAGACCCGGGTTAGAAAGCTTTACTGGCTGTAACTAGGATTGCAATTTCTCCACAAAGGAAAAAAAAAAGACACAGTATCTGGTTTCAGAGAATTTTGCGTTTTTTTACCAGTTCCAAGCTATAATGGTTTTGGAGAGACGATTTGCACTGCAGCACTAGGTAACCAGAGTCCTTGGTAAAAGAGCCTTGTGCTATTTACAGAAATGTAACAGCAAGACCCTGGAAGGTCATGTCCTTACAGGTTAAATCAAATAGGAAATTGGTTTAAGGTGTATGCATATGAGCTCAACAGAAGGGTCTTTTTAAGCTCACTTTGATTAGCTTTGGTGATGAGCAAAATCTTAATCTAGTGATTAGAAGATTATGTGAAATGAATAAGTACTAATAATGGATTTAGAAAAAGAATATCTGAAGCAAAGAAACAAGAGGCTGATCCAGGAAATCTTACAAACCCTTCACAACTAAGGCTATCTCCAAGATCTTGCTTTGGAGCCAATATTTCATACATCTTATTCAACTAGACTAGTAATTATCAACGTAACTAAATTCCTTCAGCTCTAAAGTTTTGTGCTTTTATAGCTCTGGTTCACGGAAATCATTGACAAAATAGGTATCAGATGTTCTCACAGGCTCTAAAATTAACAGCAATACTAGGACCCTGGCAGGGTGGCTGTGTTGGTTGGAGCATCCTCAGGTACACCAAAAGATTGGGGGTTCAATTCCTATTCAGGGCATATACCTAGATAATGTCCTCCATTCCCAGTGGGGGTGCCTACGGGAGGCAAGCAATTGATGTTTCTCTCTCACTCTAATTCTCTCTTTTTTAAAAATAAATTAAAAAATCCATATCCGCCCTAGCCGGTTTTGCTCAGTGGGTAGAGCATCAGCTTGCAGACTGAAGGGTCCTGGGTTCAATTCCTATCAAGGGCACCTGTCCATGTTGACAGCTCAGTCCCCAGTATGCGGCATGCAGGCGGCAGCCTGGGGTGGCTGATTCTCTCTCATCATTGATATTTCTACCAGTATCTCTCTTTCCCTCTCTTCCTCTCTGAAATCAATAAAAAATATATATTTTAAACATTATTTTAAAAAATATCGGGGGAAGATTAAAAATAAAAATAATACTAGGTATCATCTATCTATACATATATAAAGAGCCAGTGTTCATAACGTCCAAAATGACGAAAGGGACGACCGAACACCAGGCTGCACATGCAGCAGGCTCACGTGGGTGGGGACTGGCAAGCAGGCTGAACTGCTGACCTCTTGGAGAGAGAGAGAGGCAGGGCTGATCAGCAGCTGCCGCGGCTGCTGGCAAGACCCAGAGAAAGAAGCAGGGTCTGACCTGCAGCCTCCATGGCAGCTTCTGATCAGCCCTTGCCTCTCTCCTTCTCTGAGAGGTCAGCAGTTCAGCCCTCTCACCAGCAGCCTTGGGTGGCTGCTGATCAGCCCTGCCTCCATGATCAGGCCCGGAGATAGGCCAGAGATTCTGACTGGCATAGAAACTAACCAATCAGAACCAAATCTGGGTGAAGTGCGAGGAGCCAATGGCTGCCTAGGAGGCAGAGCTTTTAATACTGATTGACATAAAAACTGACCAATCAGAACCTAATCTAGATGAACTAGGAAGGCAGAACCTAAGGTGGGGGCAGAGGAGGGGTTTTAAGGGCAACGGCTGTTTGGTGTCAGGTGTAAGAAAGCGGTTCAATTTTTTAATGATCAGTTTGGCAGTATAGTGCATATGGCTGGCTATCAGTCCAGATATAGGGATTATGTATTTTTGTCTGCCAAGAGCATCTCCTCCTGCTGAAAAAGGCTACCCTCCCCCTCCCCCCATTTAAGCAATCCTATCCTATATAATCTATCCTATCTAATAAAAGAGAAACATGGTAATTGGCGTACGACTGCTACCCTTCCCATTGGCTAATCAGGGCAATATGCAAATTAACTGCCAGCCAAGATGCGGCCGGCAGCCAGGCAGCTTAAACTGAACATGAGGCTTGCTTGCTTCAGTGACAGAGGACTGCAACGATCCCCGCCTGCCTTGCCAGCCTCTGAGCTTGCAGTTTAAGAAACATTGTAACAAATATAGAAACTAAACAAAACCCCAGAAACCAGCTTTCAGCGGGCTGGGATCTCAGAGCTGGAGTTGATACAGTTTTGATTATAGAACCTAAACAAACCAGATACCTTCTTTCAGCAGCTGAGGCCTCAGAGCTGGAGCCAAGCCTCAGAGCTAAAGCTGGCCCAGAATAAAAAAAAGAAAGAAAAAGAGAAAGAAAGAAAGAAAGAAAGAAAGAAAGAAAGAAAGAAAGAAAGAAAGAAAGAAAGAAAGCAGTTGGGAGCTTCAGTCGGCCTGAAAACAGCCCTCAGCCCCTCACCCAGACTGGCCAGGCACCCCAGTGGGGACCCCCACCCTAAAGGGTGTGTGACCAGCTGCAAACAGCCATCATCCCCTCATCCAGGCTGGCCAGGCACCTCAGTGGGGAACCCAACCCTGATCAAGGACACCCTTCAGGGCAAACCAGCCAGCCCCCACCCATGCACCAGGCCTCTATTCTATATAGTAAAAGGGTAATATGCCTCCCAGCACCAGGATCAGCGGAGCTGAGAGGCCTCCCGGCACCAGGATCAGCGTGACAGGGGGCAGCGCCCAAACCCCCTGATCGCCCTGTGGCTCTGTGTGTGACAGGGGGCAGGGCCACAACCTCCCTATCAGCCCTGCTCTGTTCGTGACAGGGAAAGGTGCCCCAACCCCCTGATTGGCCCTGCTCTGTGCTTGATGGGGGGAGCTCCCCAACCCCCTGATCACCCTGTGGCTCTATGTGACAGGGGACAGTGCGCCAACCCCCTGATCGGCCCTGCTCTGTGTGTGACAGGGTGTGGCGCCCCAAACCCCCCACCCCACGGGCTCTGCTCTGTGTGTGACAGGGTAGAGCCATAACCTCCCCATCGGCCCTGCCCTGAGTGTGACAGTGGCGGCGCCCCAACCCCCTGATCGCCCTGCTCTGTGTGTGACAGGGGGCGGTGCGCCAACTCCCCTATGGGCCCTACTCTGTGAGTGACAGGGGGGAGCTCCCCAACCCCCTGATAGGCCCTGCTCTGTGCATGACAGGGGGGAGCTCCCCAACCCCCTGATGGGCCCTGCTCTGTGTGTGACAGGTGGCGGTGTGCCAACTCCCCTATGGGCCCCACTCTGTGAGTGACAGGGGGGAGCTCCCCAACCCCCTGATGGGCCCTGCTCTGTGCGTGACAGGGAGGAGCTCCCCAACCCCCTGATTGGCCCTGCTCTGTGCATGACATGGGGTGGTGCCGCAACCTCCCCATCGACCCTGCCTTGAGTGTGACAGGGGGTGGTGCCCCAACCCCCCTGATGGGCCCTGCTCTGTGTGTGATAGGGGGCAGCGCCCCAACCCCCTGATCGGCCCTGCTCTGTGCGTGACGGGGTGGCACCGCAACCTCCCTATCGACCCTGCCTTGAGTGTGACAGGGGGCGGTGCCCCAACCCCCCAATCGGCCCTACCCTGAGTGTGACTAGGGGTGGCATCGCAACCTCCCGATCTGCACTGCTCTGTGCATGACAGGGGGCGGCGCCCCAACTCCCCAATCAGCCCTGCTCTGAGCCCGACCAGGGGCTGCACCTAGGGATTGGGCCTGCCCTCTGCCACCTGGGAGCAGGCCTAAGCCAGCAGGTCGTTATCTCCCAAGGGGTCCCAGACTGCGAGAGGGCACAGGCTGGGCTGGGGGACCGCCCCCCCCCCCCGAGTGCACAAATTTTTGTGCACCGGGCCTCTAGTCTATACTAATAAAAGGGTAATATGCTAATTAGACTGGGTCGACCAGCCATCTTCTGGACATCCGACTTCCTTCTGGACAAAGCCATGGTGGTGGGGGCTGAGGCAGTGGCAGTTAGGGGTGATCAGGCCAGCAGGGAGGACAGTTGTGGGCGAAATCACACCTGCAGGGGAGGGCAGTTGGGGGTAAGATCAGGCCAGCAGGGGAGGGCAGCTGGGGGCAAGATCAGGCCTGCAGGGGAGGGCAGCTGGGGGCGAGATCAGGCCTGCAGTGGAGGGCAGTTGGGGGCAAGATCAGGCCTGCAGGGGAGGGCAGTTGGGGGCAATCAGGCAGGCAGAGGCAGTTAGGGGCAATCAGGCAGGCAGCCAGAGGCAGTTAGGAGTGATCAGGCAGGAGGGCAGGTGAGCGGTTAGGAGCCAGTGATCCCAGATTGAGAGAAGGATGTCCCCGACTGGAGAGGGTGCAGGCTGGTCTGAGGGAATACCCCCCACCCTGCCGTGCACAAATTTTTTGCACCGGGCCACTAGTATTTAAATTTGTGTCCCTTGTTAGTGAGTTTACCTTAACATGCTTTGTAATCCAACCATATTTTGCATCTAAAGGGCATCAAGTATTTTAAATTGGTTTTTTTTAATAAAAGATACTGCCACAGATTTTATGTTTTGTTACTTCAGTCAAGTTCAAGCTCGGTCCCATATATTACTTAATATTTAGTTTTTATGAACTTACTATTTAAAGGTTTGCTTTCAAGAAGTATCTGTATGTTTATAAATTATAAAATATGTATTAAAGTTACAATTAAACGCCTTCCCATTCACCACTTACTCTGAATTTTTGGAGTCATTCTATTTTAGCTTGATAATCTAACATAGTAGAGGCTTAAAGAAAGAAAAGAATTTATAAGGAAATAACTGAGACAAATAATTTAAAACAAGGAGACAAAAGTAAATTATGTAAATTTTACTATTTTAGCTAATTGTATTATAGTAGATTTAAATCAATTTAGCATTTAGGTGCCTTCAAATGATCTCTTTTGAAAGGTTCATGTCATATGATAAAAGATATTTCTTTTTTTCC